TCAACTGAAGTCTGCTCTACTACAGCGTAGGTCGCGATACCGCTCTGAAGGGATCCGTCCGTAAAGATGATTACCTCTGGGCAAAATGTGTTTAATGATTTTAAGTAGTATTGCTTGAACACATCAGCATTTGTGTTTCTTTTTTTATATTCACAAAGTGACAGATCCGTTTTCAAGCAGACTTTTGAATTCCGATTTTCTACCGGTTTGGCTGGTATAGGTACTTTTTTTTCTTCTAGGAAGCGTATAATATTTTCCAGAGCGCATGATTTTATTCCACGTGTTCTTTCATTGTTTTTTATTAAAACTTGCCACATTTTTTCGTGCAAGGCATGTGCTCGTGATGTTAGAGCTTTGGCCGCTAGATTTGCTGACCTGCGTAGTAAAAGCCAAGTAAAGTCGTGAAAACGCGCTTCTATCCTGAGCGCATCAACGTGTGTTGCAGTAAGCAGTCCTGACGCCGTCCTGAAACATTTATTCATTGCCGCATTAACCTTATTTTTGTTTTTTTCAGAGGTCCATCCATAAATAGTCAATCCGTGTTGGATTGTACCTTCGGTCATGGCTCGACAAATTGAAATTGCTGTGTCAATATGCGGACCTTTCTTCCTAGTGCAAAATATTTTCAGCATGTTGTTAACTTTTTTCAATTTGTCGCAAATTGTATTTACGTGGTCATTCCACAACGCATTTCTGCAGAAAGTTAACCTTAGTATGGTAATTTTCGATTTAAGTTCCATATTTTCATTTCCTATTTTTAATTTCGATGCGTCGCATTTATATTTCCTACAGATGTGCATAGCTTCTGCTTTTCTTAAGGGTACCACCGCTCCTGTAGCTTTAGCCCAGTGCTGAATTTTGTCGTTGAACTCATTCAAACGTTCGCTTATTTGCTCTGGTGTACCTGAAGAGAGCGCAAAAATGTTATCGGCATATATGCCCACATAGTCCACACCGTTTGTGTTTCTGATGAGTTTGATTAGAGTGTTGCAGTAAGCATTGTACAGTATGACCGACAGAGGAGAGCCTTGTGGTAGGCCATTATCTAAATTGAGGGTTTTTGACAGAAAGCCGTCTACGCGGACTGAGATTCTTCTATGGGACATGAAGGATTGAAACGTTTTTAATATATGTTTCGGTATTCCCCAGCCGGCCATTTCCTTTATAATGACCGATAATATAACCCTATCAAACGCCTTTTCTATATCCTCGGATAGTAATACACTGTGCTTATTCATTTTAAAGTTTGTTTTTATATTCGATTCTATTGTGTGACACAATGTGTGAACACCGTGTTGTGGTAAAAAACCGTGTTGTTCTGGAAGGAAACATGTTTTGCAACTTTCTCTAATTCTCCGAGCTAGAATTTTATCAAAAACTTTGGCCAGCACTGAAATAAGCGAAATAGGGCGATCTCCAACATGTTTGGACTTTTGTCTGGTTTGGTTATAGGCGATAAAATCGCTAGCTTCCAATAATGTGGGTAGATTCCAGTTTCAAGGATTTTAGTATATAAACGGCATAACCGAATTTTCAGCGAAATGTGTGAGTGTTGGATCATGGTGTACGTTATTTTATCAATGCCTGGTGTTGTGCCTTTTGAGATATTTGTCGCTTCATTGAGATCATCAATTGTTACTTCTCCAAACTTGTAGGATAGGTTGAGGTTCTCAGGTATGGAGTCTATGTTTATAATTCGCTTCCTCATTAATTCAGGGTTGAATGATTGGTCTGACCCAATTGAGCTCCATACTTCTGCAAATTTATCTGCTATCATCTGCGGGTGAGTTATGCATTGATGGCCTGAAAATATTGGAGGAAAATTTATATTTTGTTTAGATCTAATTTTTTTAATTTTGGTCCATAATGTTTTTGTGTCAGTTGATGGGTTGAGAGAATTAACAAAATTCTGCCATGTGTCCTTTTTGGCTTGTTTGCATGCTCGCCTAACTTGTGCACATAACTTTTTGTAGTTAATTACATTTTCCTGGTTCCGTTTATTTTTGTAGGTATTCCATGCTGCATTTTTTAATCGGATCAGTTGTGCTATCTCGGCGTTAAACCATATTGGGCTATTTCGTAGTTTAGTGCGTTTTTTCACTGGCATCGATTCATTTGCTGATTTTCTGATAATTTTCTTTATGTTTGCCGCCTCTTGGTTAACATTAACCATTGAAATAAACTGTCTGCCTATTTGTTCGGTTTTTTTTTTAAAAAGTTCCCAATTTGCTTTCACATCTACAAAACCTGGTTTAAATTTTTTTAAACTAGGAGAGATGTTATTAAATATTAATATCGGGAAGTGATCGCTTCCTATTGGGAAACAGTTCCAAGAAAGCACGGCAGCTAAATCTGTACTAGCCATTGTTACGTCTACGGCCGTAAGCGTGTTTTTTGTGCTAAGTAGTGTAGGTGAGCCATCGTTTAGACAAATCAGATTTCGATCATTTGCAAATTCCTCCCATATACTTCCATTTCTGTTTGTAGGTTGTGATGAAATATCTTATAAAGGGGTAAGTGTAACAGATTTGAATTTTTTTGCACAATGTGTGTTTCTTGTAGCATGATTATGTCGGGTTTGTGTTTCGTAACTAATAATTCAAGTGCATATTTATTATTGACAAATCCCTGTATATTCCATTGGATAATCGAAAAGTTTAAACCTATATCCATACCTTGGTTAAGCTTTAAATAGTGTGTAGTATTATTTATTCGTGGTCTGAGTTTTCGTTGTAATGTAGTTGTGTTGGAATGAAGTAGTTGTTGCTTTCTATTAAGTTTTGAGTTAGATTCGTCAATGGTGAAAGATGCATTTGGGTTTGAGTGGAGTAATTGTTGTTAGAATAAGATGAAGATGTATGCGGAGTTGAATTGTTAAATGTTGCGATTGTATTTGAATAATGTTTTTTGTGTACTTCTGTAACAGATGACATTTCTAAGTCACTCATTCGTGTCGGTGAGTCTAT